CCCAGGCCCATACTAGCTTCCTTACCAAAGAAAGGTATGCTTTTCTTCACCCCTGAACAGCCAAGCGAAACACGGGATGTGCAGAAACAACTTGATCCCCAAGGAAGAGAATGGCAAACTGCGGTTGTTCAGGGTGCTCCAATGGGCCCGCCTGCAGTGGATGAACACGATGAAACTTCACACCGGTTGGAATTGGTGTTTGTCCCAGTATTCAAACGGCTTCATTCGTCCCAACTGGTGCGGAGTGGATTTGTCCATCCAAAGTATTTCAATCAGGCGGCAGCTTTGCCAGTATGTCAGACCTGTAGATCCGCGAGCCGGAAATAGCCTCGAACGCTCGAACGCAATCCAGACAAGAGTGACACATGATTCCTCGCAGAGAGCATCAGCAAACACAATGGGTTGTCGTCCTTTCTTCCTTCCTACCTCTGCTTCTTTCTGCCTTGCTAAACGATCACTGGCAGGTCTCCGGGGTCTGTGGAAAATTAAGGACACCTCTGGCAGACTAGCGGATCGAACGTGACACCAGCGAATCCGTGTTTTACCTTGGTCCCAACAAACATTGTGGCCTTGATGTCTCCTCTTAATTATTGTCCAAGCAAAACGCGTCCAATCCACAACAAATGAACCGCAAACAACATCACTTATGCCCTCACATTGTGAGAATGGGATAGTCTCCACCCTCATGTTCTGCCCAAATTGATCATTGACTCACGCCCAAACGCTTGAGAAATCTTCACATGAAAACGAGAAACAACTATGGAGGATTCCCGAGAGTAGTCCAGCCACCAACGCAGAAGGTTGGGTTCGGACTATCCCCAATGCAGCTGTACATGGGGCTCTAACACACCTCGCAGGAATCAAGTTTGTATAATCCGCATCAACAGTACCCCAAACACCAAATAGGAAAGCTCTTGGTCTGGTGGAAATGGTCCCCCTTCAGGGGCCTTTGCGCATCAGCTAGTGGGCACTTGGGCCCCCGCATCCCCTCCATGGCAGATGCTTGCGGCATCGGAGTCGGACCGCCCCATGAAGCGCGCAGAGCCGGTGGGATACTCCGAGTACTGGAGCTTCCTAAGACTCACTTTCAGTCGGTGTCTGCCCGGAACCCTTGGTGGGTCTTCGGAAATAGGCAGTGTTTCAATTGTGGACGCCTAAATAAAACCTGCCAAGATCAAGGCCCTTCTTGCAAAGGCCCTTCAGAGCAAGGCCAAGGGAATCCCAAGTTCAACGCCCTTGGACTCTCTCTCTCTCTTTCTCTCTTGCGACAAGGCGGCCAGTACTGGCGGCGCACCTTCCTGAGCGGCCACACGAAGCCGTTGCCAGAGCCCCCCGAGATGGGCAGACCCAGCACCGTGGCCGGCGGAGCCAGCAGCTCCGAGAGTCTCCAGACCTCGCTCAAAAGCCTACGATGCGACACCTTGCAGATCAGGGCGATGTACTTCTCCCCAAAGCATGGGCACCCTCCAGAATGCGTCATGTTGGTCTTGGACATTTAAGCAGAGCCGAGGGGGGCTATCCCTGTTTTACCTAAGAAAAGCTAACAATAAGCACCCAATACGGCGTTGTTCAGGACCAAAAAGTAAGCCCACTTCTGGGTCTAAATTAGCAAACAATTGAACCGGTGTTGAGGGTTGACAACATGATGACCCCTTTTTTGTTTTTAAGGAAGGCCAAAAACAGGCGGCACTGAATCAGGGTTCATGGGGTTTAATGCTTACGGGATCCTAATTTTGGAGTTCCGTGAGTTTGATGTCGCAGGTCCCACAAAAGCAAAATCCATGAAACGTTGTCAATGCTTCCCCTGCGACACCCTGACTCGTTTCTCAGCCAGGCCGCGGCGGTGGAATGCAGCTGCGGATGCCAAGTGTGCAAGTATGGGCTGAGAATCACCTTGGCCAAGGGATTGGACCGCTTTCAGGACTCAGTGCTTGCCACCCTTTTGGCTCTTAAGCCAGAGTCGTTTGGACCGGGTTTGGCGAACAAGAGGCTGCTCTGTGAGGGCCGAGCATTCGTAGGCAGGCCACAATTAACATTCTTGTTAGGGGAAACTCTGAGGCCTCTCCAGCCCTCGGAAAGGTTCTCAGAACCTTCTAAGAAGGGCTTCTGATTGAAGGGTGATGGAAAATACGTAGGGATTCTATTGTCCTTCCTAGTGATGGCCATGGTTGCTAACCATTTTAGAGGTTAGGTTCTTTCTTTTGACACCCCAGACCCGGGTTGACAAACTGACTTTTGGGTCCCTTCCCTTCAAACCACCATTTAGGCAAACCTCAACATAGTGGGGGGCTATAGGGCTCAAAAGAAAGAGGAGGAGCGCGATCTTGAGGATGTCCATTTTTCAGAAAAGTGCCCAGCGGTGTCAGCGTTTCAAGCGGTGTCCGATATATCGGAACCGCGGGGCCGTGGAGTTACCCAGGCGATCTTGGAACTTGAGCTCCCGGAGGACTCCATCGAGCGCTCGGAAGCACGCCTTTGCGTCCTCGGAAGTTTCGCGTGCGCAATCCTGGCTGGAAAATTTCAAAGATGCTTCATGGGACTCCTTTTTACTTACCTAGTAATTACTCAGTTCCTTTACCATTTCAATGATCCTTTCAAGAACGAGCCGTGCCCCCTGGGCTTTTGGCGGCTTCCTGGACATAAGGATCCCTGAAAAGAATGCGGAAGTGACCCCGAGATTGGTTGACTTCCTTCGCATCCTGTGGCCATGTCGACCAGTGACTCAAAGGGCTTGGGACCCTACGCCGAATCGTGCCGATGTTGCCACAATCCGGGGTTGCGAACAAGCCAAAGGGCAAGCCAAAGGGAGGCGAAAAGGAAATCGGTTCGAACTTTCCCACTTGGAAATCAAAGGACCGGGAAATCAAAGGCTCTGACTCAAAACCGACCATTGGGTAGATTCGAGGGCAGGGGTCCCCTCAGGCCAAGGGGCGGAAGCTTGGCGTCTTACCACCAGCCAGCCATACATGTCTTCCAGCATGCCCAGAGGAAGATGTGGCCCGGGCGTCCTCTGCAAGCACGTGCCATAGGCAAAGCTCCGTCAAGTGTGGGGATTGTCGCCGAATTAGGAACCCGACACGGGGCCCGGGTTCCCTTTCGGCTCCTTCAAAACAACCCAAAAAAGTGTACCCTCAACAATGGGCATGCGTCATGGCTCCCTTACAAGAATCCGGCCATGGTTGTGTAAAATTTGTGCTGACATACTTTTTCAAGTGGAAGGGTTTGGAGCGAGGCAGGGTCCCTTCCCTTTCCCAGGTTCTGTCCGATGCGCGCCCTGCCTTTTCTCTTGGTTGTAATTTCAGCCACGGGTCTTTCAGGGGAGTACCTACTCCATGCATTGAAGGCTGCTTCAAATGACAAAACAACTCTGCAGGGTGCATGCAGACATGACCCCACATAGGTTCTCACAAATGGGTTCTAGGATGCTACACATAACATGATTGTCCCTTTGTGCAAGCTGGAACTCGCTTATTAGAACCCGTTCAACGAGTCCTCTGAGAGGCATCTCCTCTGCAAAGGAGGGCACTTGGGTGTTTCTGCGGATCAGGGGACTTTGGATTTCTACCCCTGCCAGCAGCCAATATGGAACCTAGCCAATCGAGTGGCTTTTGGGGGGATCGGCTCAGCTTTTGACCGCGGCATTCTCAATTCACGCCAAAGCAGACCTCCAGCCTACCCCACAAAGGCTTTAAGAATATCTATGAACCATTCCTGAAGAGTGGGTGAATTTCTCCCCATACACGAAGCAATCCATCTAACATGGTGGGGTGTACCCCCGATCAAAATCAACAAGGGGTTCTGCCTAACCCTCCCATTGCAGCGCGCCTGCAGTGCACCAGCGCCACGTTTTTGGCTTTCGGAGCGCGGCAGCCGTTTAGCATCATGTACAGCAGCGCTGGATGGCCTCGATCTCCGATGGATGGAGCGCGGTTCAGTGACCGAATTGGATCTTCTTTGCATGGGCCCGGCGTTGATGCCCTTGGCCTACAAACACTCCTTTGCCGGGCCGTTTGAGGGCTGGATAATTCAAGGTCTTGATGAACTTGGAAGCACTTGGTGTTCGCCTTGACTTGGAATTGTGTTCCTTCGGAGACTCTGAAAGGAACCTTCGGTTGTGGCTCGATTCCAAGGGATGGTCATCCTCATGCCCGATGTGGACCCGACAGGCACCCCGTGGCACAAAGCATACCGAGTCAGATGACATGTGTGCCATGGTAAAACTGTACCCTATTAAGAGGCTGATGACCATCCCAAGCAACCCGGACTGTGACGCCTGACGGGAAGAAATCCTGGATGATGGGTTCAAGATTGGAAATTCAAGAACCCCTGACCCTTGACTGATTCTGTGCGAAAAATAAAGAGGGTCCCCCAAGGCACTACGAACATCGTGTTGTCATACCAAAGTCGTGGGGCGAATTCAATTGCAGCAAAATGACGCCGCTCCGGGCATCGTTGGATTCCTTTGGGTTCCAAAAGGTCTGCCAGTGGGTCAAAAACTTTCTACCGAATCCCCCGAGCGGTTTCCCTTTTCACCATCCCCCTCAAAGGGGTTCTTCTGTGAATTTGCAGGGTCTTTTGCGGCACCTGTGTCATGTTCAGAACCGGGCATTGCAAAGGCCTACCCAAAACCACGTAAAGAAGCAACAGGACGGTTCCACCTATAAATTTACGGCCAGGACAATTCTTGGCTCACGTTGTCTTCAGAGTAGCCTCTGCGTCCCTTTCGGGAACATGTTCAATTGCAGGAACCCTTTCCAAACATTCCCTGAGTTTCTGTATGCAAACACCTTCCTTCACCGCATCAGTTCGACTCTGCCTTGCCAGCTCTGAAGATTCAGCGTCAGGGAGTAGACATCCCAATCCTAGCAAGTTTGCGGGGATCCAAACCCATTGACTTTGATTATCAAAGTCCGCAACTGGGTGGTGTCCCTTGAAGCCTACCACTTGGGGGGTGACTTTGATAATGGGAAAATAAGGGGACCAGGTTGACAGTCTAAGCCTCCCATAGCATCCACGGCGTATAGCATCCATACCCTGATCTGACTCGAGCAACTAAACGAAACTGGTGGTGTGGACCTTTTGGGCTTCCCTTTGCAAGTACCCCAAGTTGGGGCCATCAAAAACCAAAAGCAACACCCCACTGGGAGCTGCAGAAAAGGAAGCCAAACCAAAAACAAAGTACAGGGGTTGTCTCAGAGCGAGGGAGCCCCTTTTAATTCAAACATCCTAATAAGACCACACCCCTGCACGGCCATCGTGTAGTTTCGTGAGTCACTGCAGGCAAGCACGCTACTGAAAAGAACTTGCCCAAGAAGCGCTTCTGTGTATATGTGCAAGTTGGAAGCCCTTTCCGTCCGCTGCAGGGTTCCAGTCGGTTTCCTTTGTTTTACAAAAAACATGCAATGGCCCTAAACAACAAGACATCCGTGTTAGCCCATCCATCGGCCCTCCTCTACCTCAGTCTGTTGATGAAGATACTCTCCCCGGCCAGCGAGCGTCACCTGAGTAGCGTCGTGCCAGCTCCCTATCCCAATTGTCTGCTAGAAGCCGTGCACGGGCTTGGGGCCCAGCTTCAACCCTAACCCACAGTCCGGCTTCCTTCCCTCGTGCTTTCCGTGCGGGATGTCCCGGGATGAGCGAATAGGCTGACTTTTGAGCAGGCGTCAGTTCAAGACATCTGTTCTGGGCGGTTCCGTTCCCACCGCTCTTCACTCCTTTCGGCCTGCCTGATCATTTGGGTGTGTTTGTGGTGTTGCTAGAAAAAGCCCCTTTTAGAACCTTTGGGGGTGGTTCAACGGGAAACCGAAAGGAAGCCAACTATTTGGGGGTCCCCCTATTTTGACACATATCAATTTCCCCAAATTGAAGACCGATGGTAAATATGGATCGCTTATGGTGACAATTAAGACAAGTAAAAATGTCGCATCCAGTGCATCTCGCGGCAGCTTTGGTACAGGTTGGTTGCCGGCAAAGTAGGATCCTTCTGTTCTTCACCGTCAAAAAGACGGTCCTTGTGACATGGTCAAAGCTTCAGTAGGCACCCTCTTCCCTTCAAGGGTTGATGACCACCCATAAAACTACAACACTTGCTTAAAACAAGCTCCTGCTGCTGGTTCCCAATTAAAGGGGGCGGGTTGTCTGAACCAATTTTGCAACCAACACTGGTTTTGACCATGGTGTGCTGGCATGGTACCCCTTTAGGTTGAAACCGAAAGGAAAACAACCCTCGTCTGGATCCCCCTGATTTTGATATCCACTTAGTGGACTTGGCTGTCGTTTTCCTCAACAAATAGGCGCCGCCAAACACCCCCCAACATAACGTCCCCCAAAAAAAAGAAGACGGGGTCTCTGGGTCCCGGAGTTTGAGCCCCTGGTTCCTTCCAAGTCGCCTGACCCAGCTCCCGCGCTCCCAGGCCGGCATCGGCCCACACCCGAAAGCTGGCATTGAAAAATCCCACCTCAGTTGACACCGGGAAACCTGTCAGGTGTGTTTGGCCAAGAGCCTTGATTGTGTTTCTATCAGGGACCATTTGTGAAAATCACTCCAAAAAGGGTACCCTCAACAAACACATGCCTATTCGTCTCACTTCCTGAGTGGATTGGCCGAGAAAACCAAACTTGCTGTTTACACCTAAGAATCAGCTCTTTCCAAGAATAATGAAATCCAGAAACTCGGGAAATAAGTTGCGGATTCGGACATTTGGGGAGTACTTGCCCCCACCATAATATTAGCCACAAATGCACCTATAGCTTGGCACCCTGCTTTCTGAACCATGTCCCCTTCGCGCGCCCAAAAGCCACGGCGTGATACCCGCACCTCGGGAAACCCAAAGAATCAGAAAGCGTCTCTCCCACCCAGAAACTCCTGCTGGAAGTTCCCTGCAACAGGCTGCAGAACAACATGGGAAAGCAGAACGCATGTTTGTTTTTCCTCAGGCTTGGCTGCAACATGGTGGATCAGGAATCACCGGGCAAGAGGCTCTCGTGTTTGACAACCCCGACTTGGCTGGGGTTCATGTGTTGTTTATGTCCTTCTAGCGAGTAACAATTAGTTAGCATACCCAAGCAGGTACAGTTAGCGCGCGATAGGAAATTTCTCCCAAGGAAATGGATGGGCCAGAAATATGGCTCCATGTGCTGACTGATTTTGCTCACCCCAAGCGTCAGCCCGCATGAAACCGCCTGCCTCTGCACCTGGCAGGGTGAAGAGGATCACCGCCGTCACCCTGGTCAGATACGTAAAGGTCCAGGACGAAGCGCTGCCACTTGCATCCTAACGCCCAAACACACTGGGAACGGCCGCTCGCCATATATCTTTGCAAAACAAAAACAAAAAATACACCAGCATAGACCCCAGATAGCACACCACGGCTACGAACCATGACGCAACATCATAATGGTTCCCGCGGCATGATGATGATGTTGACAGCATCTTGATGATGTTGGCAGCATCATGAAAATATCACAGCTACTCAGCATAGTGCGCTACATAGACGCGCAGACAACGTCCTAGTGAGTCCATCAGCAGAACGATGATGTTGACAGGGTGATGCTGATACACCAGCCACGAACGATTCCGCGCTACATATCTAGCAGAAAAAAGGCAGAGACGGCGTCCTGATGAGTTCGACAGCATCATGATGATGCGGACAGCATCATGATGATGCTCACAGCGTCATGGTGATGGCAAAGGCAGCATCCTGATGATACCACAGCCACGAATCATCTTGCGACAGTGTAATGAAATTCAGCATCACCCTGATGTTGACAGCATTATGCCCGCCACCACACCCACAAACCATAACGCGGCACCGCAGCGATTGCAGCAGCATCATAACGTGGTTGACAACATCATGATGACACACAAGCCACGAACCATTACGCGCGACAGTTAGAGCAGCAACAACGTCCGAATCGGTTCAACAGCATCATGGTGCTGCTGACAGCATCATGATGCTGCGGCCGGCATCATGATGATGCGACAACCACGATACCCCAAAACAGCACCCGCCCTAGCACCCTGCCATCCACATGCGCCCGCACCATCACCAACAACGGAAAACAGCAGCCCCAATAGCACCCCAACGCAGCACCCGCGCCAGCACCGGACACGTCCCCGAGCACCCTGCCGTCACGTACTGTCACCAGCACCTGAACCGAACAGCACTCATTAGAAGTCTATGGTATCCAGCTATCCGGGAAATAAGCCCACGCGGTCAGCAGCACCTCCAACAGCAACACAAAACAGCACCTGCACCACCACCCCAAACTGCATGCCTCCTAGCACCCGGCCGTCAGTTTCGCAAAGCAGCACCTCCACCAGCACCCGAAACTGCATGCCTTCTCGCACCCGGCCGTCAATCTCGCAAAACAGCACCTCCACAACACTCCAAACTACATGCCCCCTATCTCGCAAAGCGGCACCTCCACCAGCACCCGAAACTGCATGCCCAGCACCCGGCCGTCAATCTCGCAAAACAGCACCGCCACCAGCACTCCAAACTACATGCCCCCTATCTCGCAAAGCGGCACCTCCACCGGCGGAACTGCACGACCCCTAGCGCCCGGCCGTCAACCTCGCAAGACAACACCTCCACCAACACTCCAAACTACATGCCCCCTATCTCGCAAAGCGGCACCTCCACTAGCGCCCGAGGCTGCATGCCCCCTAACACTCCAAACTACATGCCCCCTAGCACCCGGCCGTCAATCTCGCGAAGCGGCACCTCCACCAGCACCCGACACTGCATGCCCTCTAGCACCCGGCTGTCAATCTCGAAAGACAGCACCTCCACCAGCACCCCAAACTACATGACCCCTACCCGTCCGTCAATCTCGCAAAACAGCACCTCCACCAGCAACCCAAACTACATGACCCCTAGCACTTGGCCGTCAATCTCACAAAACAGCACCTCCACCAACACCCAAAACTGCATGCCCCCTAGCACCCGGCCGTCAGTTTCGCAAAGCGGCACCTCCACCAGCACTGCAAACTGCATGCCCCCTAGCACCCGGCCGTCGAGCTCGCAAAACAGCACCTCCACCAGCACCCCAAACTGCATGCCCCCCAGCACCCGGCCCTCAATCTCGCAAATCACTTTCCCTTCTTTATTAGAAGTTAGAACCCCTACAGCTTTCAGCTATCTGGGGAAATATGTCTTCTTCCAGCCCCGGCCCACTCAATAAACAAGAGCTAAAAGCAAAGAACCCTGAAGGGTACTGTTCGCAGTCCAAACGAATTCAGCCTCTCCCACTCCACCAGTAAAAAACACACACGCATCGCAGCGCAAGGTGAACATCGTGATCAAACATTTCGCCAAGGGTCTTGGTCCCAATGTGCAAGCCAGGGCTCACCAAGGCCACCGCGGCATGCCGAAAAATCTGTGTGGCTTGGAACCCCACAGCATCGCTCACGTGTAAACGCCTCCCGGAAGCAGTCGTCGTCACCCACTCCGAAGCAGCAGCGCTCATAGTTGTAGTAACCAGTGATGTCTGCGAAACAAGTAGGGTCCTGGACCACAGGTTTGAGAATCAATCTCTGAGACTCTGTTTACTGTTGTTTGCTTGACATGAACGCAAGCAACACAAACATAACTACAATCAAATCCGTTGGTAGCAAAAGCTAAATAGACTGTCTCCAAATGGTGCAAAACGATACGCACGACAGCAAAGGATCTCCAAACTGCTTCGAAACTTTGGAGATACCCGGACAGCAAAACTCGAAGGTGAAGTGGTCGTCGAAGCAACCCTCCGACCGCTGAAGGCAGCAATGGTCGAAGGGGAAGCCTCCCTTTGCACACCTCGGAGGTATTTAGGCGATCGTCACAATTTGGATGGACGTGTTTTCTCCATCAAAGGTCGTCATGACACCACCTTTTACAATTACAAACCTGCTTTTTGACATCCATGTTACCCCTTGGCTTGTGGGCCCAAAAACAGATTGGTGGTTTGGCTTGGTGGTTTGGAGGTTGGGGCCATTACCCTCTACAAGAACCAAGGGTTTAAATCCCCAAACAATCCAAACCACCAACTAAGGGTTGCCTGATTTACGGTTTTAAGAGAGGGGGGGGGGGGGCCCAGCATCCCCGGTAAGCAAAGAAGACCCACGTACATGAGGATCCAAACCAAACCAACCGAAATTCGGCGAATCTGAACCTTTGGCTACATGCGTCAATCCCAGCCAGGGCGCTCTGGATTCATCCATCTCACCCCCTTGGCAGCCCCTAGCTGGAAGCATCGAGCCACTTCCGGGCGGATTCGCGAATACACTAAGAATATGTATTTCACCTATTCAAGAATTGAGGCATAGGCAATAATTGTTGACTAACCCGCAACTGACGGGATGTGCTCTACATACATACGTGTGTATATATATATATATATACGTAATCGAGTCTAAATGACATCTATTGTTCAATTTCATGTTCAAGTTTACACTCTTGGGCATTGTACGTTGTTTGCTTTATTGTAAACTTGTGATTTTGAACCGGCCGGGTGAGACACGAGAGCTGCGGGCAAAATGCTGGATTGGGTGTGGCTCAACAGATATGAAACCACCAGAAGGTGGCTTTGTTTTGGTTTGGGACTTCTCGGAGACAACCATCACACACACACACACACACCGCCCCCACACACACACACACAAAAAAGAAATGCTGAGGCTAAACACAAAAACATGCTCATGTTGATTGTTTCTCTCGGAAGATCGAACATACCGCGTTGCACAAGAGACTGGAGAAGGGGCGCAAGCTGCCGTCAGACGAATGCAAGCTATTGCGGCTGCTATCCTGACCGGATCTTCCAACGTGCAGCTGCCAATCCCTCACATAGATCCTCCTGCCGAATCACCACTTACTGCCAGCTTAGGGCTCAGCAATCGAAATGATTCTGTCTTGGGGTTTGAAACGGAAGCCAAGGGGACAACCGTGAAAGGGTTCCCGCATATCCAAATTTCTTGCGGGGCATCCTCCGGCGTCCGCACCTTCCCCCTGCCGCCCTCGATGCTCGCCACCAGCTCGCCATTGGGACTGCCCAGAGAAAGAAAGAGCGATGCGATGCGTTCTCACTCCCAGGTGGAAATGAGCAACAAATGACCATGTTGTTAGACAAGCCAGGTATGTCGGTACATCATGTCTCAGGGTTTCCTATTCTTTAAGCCGTTTTGGAGGGAAGCCGAAGGAAACCGGGCCCCGTGTGGGAGCACCCATGCAACCCAATGATGGCAAGCTAGAGAAGGCGGTTTAGAAGCACGAAGTGCCGCCGCCTGCAGGACAGACCTCGTGAATCAAGAAAGAGCTTGGGTGATCTCGGCTTTGCCCGGGGTTGCATAAAGGGTGCTTAATCTTTGTGTGGCTTGCTGAAAGAGAACATGTTGATTTGTTTTTTGGGAAGGGTTGAACATCAAATAAAGCGCTTGGCTTCCTCATGGTTGTTTGGTTTCCCCTTTTTATGCACTCGGTCCGTCAAACCCCATCCAAGCCATGGAAGAAAATTACTCCAAGCATGCGAGAGATGGCGAAGCCACCGCACCACAGAGGCTTGAGGTGGGAGGGTCCCCAATGAACCTGCACCACGGGGTCTAAGACACTTCAGTTGACTCTTTGCAAGTGAACTCCCTGCCTTCGTCTTTCAAGCCGGCTCGTTGAGGGATGATGTACCACATCACCTAGGAATGCGCGTGCTGATGCAACTGATCCGAATGGACCAATCTCACAGGGCAATGGCCACTGCTTGTTACTGGCAAACCAACTCTCTCTGTATGCGGGGCGCTGTCCCTTTGGTGTCCCAACCGGGAAAAATAGAAACACGACAAGGGGCGCCACGTCTCCTAAAACGAGACATTCCCATGGCGCGCAAAGCATTTGCAGCATCGATCTGAGGCCAAGGCCGTTGGGGCAAATGTCCGGCCCATACAAAGGGTTGGTGGTCTGCGCCCGGACGCAAGGCGCACAAGTCATGCGGGAAATACACCTTGTGATGCCGATGTCTCACTTCCCTGAAACTCTGTTGGCACAATACAGCATGCGGCCCTAACCCCCCCCCCTCCCATGTCCCACAGCATGGCCAAGGGTTGACCGTTTGCAACCGTTCTTTGGGGCCACACCTCCAACGGTTTCCAACAAGGTGGTCTAACAAGGACAACCTTGGCACGGGCTGCCAACTTGCCGGCTCCAACACCGCCAAAGTATATAGTTTTTTTGTTGAGGGTACAATTGTTGGTGGTTTAAGTAAAATCAACAGGAAAGCCACCATTATTTGTGTCCAATTTGACACATACCCTGGGCCAGGCCAGCCCGACAAGGGCACTGGCCTCCAGGATGGTGGCCACATTCCCCTTGGCGTCGACCTGGACTGCACTGGGCGGTTGCCAAGCGAGCAAACCGATATGGGTCTGACCCCGAAATTGGTGGTCGCCGCGTTTGTTTCCCTTTTTTAGGAAAGAGAAAGAAAAATAGAAGAGGCACCACCAAATTAGACGAGTACCACAGACAAAAACATCGACACGGATGGAAGAGCAGCCGACGGAAATGGGAGGCGTCCCCACCCCCTCGGCTCAGCCGGAACCGAGCCTTGCTCAGCTTCTGCTTGTCAGACTTTCTCAGCAGCACCACCTTTTGGATTTGGACTCGCGAAAAGGGCGGCTTCCATCACGAATCAGCTTGGGTCTCCCCCCCAAACGAATGGTACCAACTAAACAATGGCGGAGCTTCGGCGCAGAATCAAGCACAAACGCACCACCAGGAAAATCACCGGACCTCTACAAGGAGCTCGTTAGCTTTCAAAAAGCGGGGTTCAAACGTTTCCCAAAGGGAAACTCAAGCAACTCTGAAAATGCAGGTCAAAAATAAACCCTGACGCGTTCATGTCCAACTCAAAGCCTCTCCATCCAGATCCGCTGAGCGCCCTGCAAAGTCTGCAGTACCATTCGGTACGATGTGGTGAGGCTGGCGCAGTTCAGCAAGCAACGATTGCACTCATGCGGCGTGCAGACATGCGCAAGTTTATTTCAGAGCAGCCCAAAATTTGCTCAACGCATCCCTAAAGCCAAACACAGGGATAAACTCCCACTGACAAATCAGCCTCAAGCCAACCCCAACCCCACCCAATGCCAACCCTGACCCACCCCCACCCAACACCAGCCCAAGCCAAACCAGCCCAGACCAACGCACACCCACCGGAAGCAATCTCTGAACCCACGCCCAAGCCAACTGCGCCCAAACATGCCATGCTTTGAAAATGCAGGCGATTCAAATAATGCTAGTGACGCCAGGAAGGCGGCCAGCTTGGGGGTCTGTTCCGGCCCAAACACGGGGTCGAGTTCGGAGTTGGGTTCGGATTCCTGCTTGCATTTGCAAGTGTGTCCATGCCCACAGATGCGCAAGGAATTCTGCTCTGTACCATTCGTCTTGTCTCAGCACAGCATCCTGCTACTCGTAATGCCATACACAACAGTGTATGTGTGTGTGTGGCGCATCCGAATCTCAGGGCCTGGCATGCATGTAAAAGGCTGATTTTATAAACCCGTATACGAACCCCGGGTTTAGCCGTGTAGTCTGCGGGTTTAGGCATTGATTGTGGTTGAATTGTGGGAAACATAATCAGCCTTTGAGATTTCGCCAACAGCCATTCCTAGCTTGGCCTCGATGTTCGACACCAGCGGCTGGTACTTGCCATAGCGGTCGTAGCAGACAATTCGATTGGTGTCACTGACCTGGGCGAATCGAGTTCGAAGTAAATCCCGGGGATTAGATCCTGGTCCCCTCATGAAAAAAAGAAGAAGGTTGTTTACCCTCTGTACAACAATCATGGAGTGGATATGATTGTTGGCACGAATAGTATTGTCAATACTGTTGGCGAGATGCCAAAGGTGCCCTGACTTCATCATGTGACATCCGAACAAGCCTGTCGCGGTCTTTGCAGCAGGGCCAGCCGCAGCTACGCCCGAAGAACGTTAAAATCAGTTGTTACTTTGCTTACAAGTGCAAGTGCTGTAGTGTTCAAACAAACAGTCAACCAATGTAGTCTGCAGCTGCCAACCTTTTGACTCATGCGGAGTAGTAAGCTCAAGGCCTGCGGTAGTGAACATACATGCAACAAGAGTGCAAAGTGAAGCATGTAGTTTGACACGGCCCCTCAGTTAAAAGGTCTTTGTAGTACCTTTTCAACTGAAGTGCAAAACATGGATTGACAGTAGTGATGAAAACCATTGTTGTTCATCAATTCTACTGTATTGGCAAAAGTAGTGACCTGCGCTCAGTAGTTCACGCTGTTCAGGTTCCAGCTCGATGTAGGGCGCTGGACGGAAGTAGTGAAGGCAGGCACTCGTTGTAGTAGAGCAGGAGCTCAAAAATGTAGTCCCCATTTCTGGGTGCGGTAGGCTTGGACCATCTGTAGTCGACTGTCCAAGGTCGCGTAGTAGTTGGTGGTGAAAAAGGTTGTCATGTAGTTTGGAGCTCCCCGTAGTCGCTCATCATCAATCTCGGGACACGACATGTGTTGGTCGTAGTCCCGTAGAAAGCGGTGTAGTAGTGCTTTGTGGTGTTGTGTGAGGTTGGTCATTGTGAGTAGTGTGAATCCGTAGTATTGGATGCTTTTGCAGAGGATTGTAGTGATTGCTTTGTGCTGGAAGTCGTGTAGTTGGTCTCGGTTGTAAAGGTAATGGAGTAGTTCAGGTAGAAGTAGTGGCATGTGGTAATTCCAAACGTAGTTGTTCCTGAGGCTGTAGTTGTCAGTGAAGGTGGTCATGTTGTAGTTCACCTTGAAGATGGTCTGTGGCAGTGTTGTAGTCGGGAGGTAGTAGTTGTGTTGTACCGACATCATGTAGGAGATGTAGTCCCTTGTGAAGTGTAGAAATTGTCCTGAAGTGAGGTATCTCAGGAGTAGTGGTTGTTCAATCTGGAGTTGGATGATGACGTGGTTGGTGTTGTCGCCAGTTGTAGTGTGGAGTGAAGTCGTGTGGTAGTAGTGGACATTGGCTGCTTCAGGTAGTGAAATGCTGAGCAGTGTAGAATTGTAGTGTGGCATCCGAAGATCTCCAGGGATGCAGTGACTGGGTCGTGTGTAGTCCAGTTGCGCCAGTGGAGTAGCTTGTTGTTGTGAGAGTAGTTGATACTCTTCAAGTGTGAATGCAGTGAAAAATTGAGTGTAGGGAATGTTGTCGGGCAGTGGTGGTGCAGTGGTTGTCTGATGCTCAGCGATGTGTAGTTGGTCCATCACTGTGGTCGGGTTGTAGGAGACGGTGTTGCCGGGTGTAGAATGGTTGAAGTGGTAGTTGGAGTCGTTGTAGGTTTGAGGTGGTGGAGTTCCATGGTCACTGGAGTCCGTAGTGACCGCCACCTCAGGTGTAGTCGCCCTGTCGGGCGTAGTGGCGTCTCCCATCGTAGCATCTGCAGTAGATGGAGCGGCCATGGCTGCAGTGGAATGCAAAATGTAGTGAAACGGGGCAAAACAAATGAGCCTAAGTAGTTGCTACCAGGCAGTCGGCAAATGCAGACATGTAAAACAAACAACTGTAGTGTTGACTCAAGCCGCCAAAAGTGCAAGTGAAAGTACATGTAGTTACTGTTACTTACATACCAAAAGTGTCGTGTTACATGTAGCTACTTACATACATGAAATGTCCAAAGTCGTTGTTGTTGTTGTGAAACTGCTGCGCTGGTCGTTCGTAGTGCTAGATGCGTATTCCAATGCTCTGGATGAGCCTGTGTAGTGTTTCTTTGCTGATGTATTTGGTAAACAAATCTGCGCTGTTGTGGAGTGTGTTGATCTTAAGGATTCTGATGATGTCGCGCTTGATGAGGTCTTGTGTGTAGAGGAATTTGAGGTCGATGTGTTTTGCTCGTTTGCTAGTGCCTTGTCGTGTAGCAATGCTCTTGCCTGCTGTGGAGTCTGTGTGGATGCGTAGGTTTAGCTTGCTGCAAATGTTGGTTTCAAGTAGGAAGTTTCTGAGGTGTAGTCCCTCATTAACTCCTGTGCAAATGGCGTAGAGTTCAGACTCTGCTGAGCTAAGTGCTATTGTAGCTTGTGTTCTGCTGCCAAATGCAACTGTTGTTCCTAGAAAGATGATGTTGAAACCTGAAGTTGATTTCCTGGTAGTAGGGCATCCTGCCCAGTCGGCATCGACATGAACGTCGAGATCCAGGATGTTGTTGGTGTTTGCTCTGAGTGTTGTTGTTGGTTCTATGGTGAATTTGTAGTGCTTGGTGCCGTGCAAGTAGCGTAGTAGATGTTTGACTCTCTTTTGTGAAAGTTCTGTAGGTGCTGTGAGGTCTCGTGCTAGTTCTTTTGTGGAGTATGCAATGTCTGGTCGTGTGTATGCTAACCATTGAAGTTTGCCAACAATTCTTCTGTACCTTTTGTGTTGTTCGTGGTCAAGTAGTGCTTCATCTTCTATTGTTGGTTTGTAGTGTGCAATTCCTGGAGTGTTTACTGAGTTGCAGTTGTTCATTCCAGACTCCTCGATCATGTTGTCGATGTAGGAGTCCTTTAGTCCAAGATTGCAGTAGTTGCCAAAGTGGTCGATGTTTCTTCCAAGAAATTGTTGTGGTTTGCCAGGTTCGAGGTAGCCGATGTGCTTGAGTAGTACCTGCTTCTGGACGGCCTCGAAAGTGGAGTCGACTGCGGTCTTGTCTCCAAGTACTAGTAGATCGTCCACGTAGACCATGATGTAGCAGTCGCGAGTCGCATTGGTGTAGACGTTGGGTTCTGACTTTAGTCTTACAAAGCTGAGCTTTTGTAGAACTTCAGCCAGGTAGTCCTGCCATGCTTTCGGTGAACTGCGTAGTCCATACATGGCTTTCTTTAGTCGCCAGATTTTGTCCTGTTGTGGACAAAGTTCTTTAGGTGGCCAAAGGTAGACGTCACGTTGTTTACCGTCGTGGTCTTTTGCGATGGGTGCGTGTAGAAATGCTGTAGAGACGTCACCTAGTCGCGCGATCCAGTTTGGTCGTGACATTTGTAGTGCGAGAAGTGTCCGGAGTGTCGTGAACATTGGTGTAGAGGCGTAGACGGAGTCTTCGTCCTCGATCTTCTCGGTGTAGCCTTTTGCGACGATTCGGCTTCGTACTCCTGGTCCTTTCTTTCTGTGTACCCATCTTGTAGGTATCGCTTCTCTGATGACGTTGTCGTTGACGGTAGACGCATCTACTTCGTCGTAGACGTCGTGTAGTTTCATTTGGTTTGACTCGTGTTTCATTCCTTCCAGTAGTTGTGTTTCGTCGTAACCTTCGTTGTCGAAGATTATGGGTTGGTCTTCTGAGGTGTCGTCGTTTGTGTAGGGAGTGATGGATTTTCCGTTGGGAAGTGTCACTGCGTTGATTTTCTGTCGTAGTGGTGGTGGTTCTTTGGTTGCTTGCTCCGTTGATCTGATTGTAGTGTCCTTTGAGGTCTTCTGTGCTTTAGTTGGTTGCATTACTTCTTCCGGAGTTAAACGTCTTAGTGTTTGTCGAGGTGGTGCTGGTAGTGGTGGATGTTGTCGTCCAGTTGGTGAAGTAGCCATAGGACTATCCGGTAGTGGTCGTGAACTTGACGTCGATGTGGACGGAAGTCGTGGAGGTGGTGTAGTGCGTTGTTGTTTTGTTGCGGGTTCCGCAACGATGTCGTCCGTAGCGTTCGTTTGTTGTCCGAAATCTTGCGTGGACCTTCTTTTCTCTGACGGTTGTAGTTGCGTATCCAACAGTGTTGCGAACGATGGGTTGTAGGTGTTCCGTCGGGGTGCCCATGGTGTGCCGGAGACTTTGTTCAACAGTGCGAGGTCGTATTTGAAGTCCGGTTGTAGTCTCCGTACTGTTCGTACCTTTTGTACGCCTGATTCCGTTGCGACGTAGTTTTCTCCGGTTTCGGAAACTTTTCCGAGCCAGATGCATTTCTGCATCCGTAGGTCTGCTTTCGGAAGTTTCTTGTGTTGTGGTGGAAGGTAAAGTAGTGTCTCGCCAAATTCGCAGATTGCTCGCTCGTAGTTTCTTCCCCAGCGGCGTTCAAAGCTTGTGTAGCCGTCTGAGTGGATGACGTAGCGATTTACCGTCCATGCTGCGTGTCGTACTATCCAAGGTAGTAGTAGACAGTGCTTTGTGGACATCGTCATGCTGTAGTTGCTTTCAACCTGAGCTTTGACGACGCGGATTTGTCCGAGAAGTGTTCTGTGTAGTCGCTCAACGCTTCCTTGACTGTTGCTGCTGTAGGAAGGTGAATGTCGTACACTCATTGCGCCGACTTTTGCTGCTGTAGCTTTTAGAAGTGCGTTGAGTGTGTCTTCGTTGTCGCTTTGTAGTATGCCTTGTGTTCTTCCGCACTCAAAGATGAATGCTTGTAGGTTGTTGACCATGTAGTCCATCATTGATGATTTGTCTGGAACCAATACTGCCATACACAGTTGTGTAGTAACATCAACTGCTGTCAGTACCGGTGTGGTCTTTGGGTCTTGTTGTGACTTGATGTAGGCAAAGTCTACTTGAATGACAGGTTGTCGTGATTGTTGTTTCTTGTAGTTGTCTTGGCGTCCTTGGCCTTGAACGCAAATTGGACACCAGTTTCTGTATGGTAGATGTGTAAGGTTGTGTTCTGCTATTTGTTGTGGAGTGGGCTGCTGTGGTTGTCGTAGTCCTCTTGCTCTGTGTGCTTCATGATGCTCGTGCTGGTGTCCTTCATCGTGGTTCTCCTGGATGTACTCGTAGTCTTTCTTCACGGTGAACCTTGTTGTTCCTTTCCATTGAAATGGTAGTGCTGCGTTGCCCACGACTGTCCAGTCATCTTTGCGTTGTGAAACTTCTCCAATTTTTTTTAGATTGTAGTTCTGTGAGGTTCGAGTGTGTTGATTGGTGGATGTCCTGGTCCATCTGTTGGAGTGAAGAGAATTGTTCTAAGCGTTGTGTGGTGTCGTATCCAGTGTTCACCTTGTCTTTCCCAGTAGTCTTGGTTGTCCTTCTGTGCTGTGAGTGGTCTGTGTATTGTCTCCTTTGGTTGTGTGGTGTCAAGATTTGTAGAAGGTGCTGCTTTGGGTCTCCATATCTTTTGTGGTGCTCGTAGTTGGATCTTTGATCTGGTTGGTGGTGTGTCCATTAGACGTTGTGGTTGTGAGCTCTGCCTTGTTGGTGTGGTCTTTGATGTTGCTCTGCGTGTAGGTGTTATCTTTCTTCTGAATCTGGTTTCTCCAGTCCAGTTGTCACCTTCTAGTCTTCGTTGTAGTTCTTGCTTGGAAAGTTGTGTTGGGTTCTCTTGTAGTTGTTCTTGCTCTTGCCCTTGTCTGTTGATGATGGTTAGTCTCCAATCATCTAGTTCTCCTTCTGGTATTGGGCAGCCACTGTTGTGTGGTGTGAACAGTGCTTTGCGTGGTCGTTTGTGTACTCTGATGGCGTAGTCACCATCAAGTTTCCAGTAGTCAGTGTTTCCACCAAGGATCTGTCGTAGTCCTTGGTCTGTGTGTGTGAGTGGTGCGATTTGTTCTTGTTGTTGTACTGCTTTCTCTGTAGGTTGAATCACAGCAATGGATTTTCCATTGTCTGTAGTCATTGGGTAGATGTCGAATCCTGTAGGAATGTCGATCTTCTCTGCTCGTAGGTAGAAAAGTCCTGAGTGTCTTATGAGGTGTGCTTGTTCCTCCATTGTGGTTTGTTCCTACTGCTGAAGTAGATCTAGTGAAGGCTGAAACCGTTTTGTAGTAGTCCAGGATGAGTGCTCTGATCTCGATGTAGTTCGTGATCTGTCCAGCTCGCAGTTGGAGGTGTTGCTGCAGTGCTCCTTTGGTTTTGTTGAGTAGTATTGCTATTTTGATTCCATCTGGTAGTGCTGTTCCATTGTCTTTCTCGTAGCGGTTGATGTCGTATTCCCATTGTAGAAATTGTTCTTCAAACTGCGCTTCGTTGAATGTGGGTTCCAGTAGTTTGGTAAGGTAACCAACGCTCCTTGTTCCTACTGGTAGGCTGAACCTGTTGTGTAGTAGTCGTAGTGTTTCACATCCGTTTGCGTTGTAGCGGTTTTGCCTTACTACTGTAGCTGCTGCTCCCTGACAGATGTTGATGAGGATGTAGTGTAGATCTCTGGAGAGGTCTACTGCTTTGCTTGCTTGTGTAGGGTCGAGTATGTGTGTTCTGATGTCTGTGTCCTCAATCTGTCGTGTAGCCACTTGTGCTAGTTGTAGCACCAGGTCGAAGTCTCGGTCTATGAGGCCGAGGTATGCTTGTAGCTTGAACAGCCATTCTTCATACTGGGAGTAGTCACCAGTGAAGAAGGGTGGTGGCAGTTTGTATCTATGTAGTCTCTGAACGTCGTTGTCTTGTTCTGTTCCTGCTCCCGTAGTCGTGGCTCCTACTGTGTCTGCTGTTGGCCCGTTCTCTGCTCCTGTAGTTTGTTGTGCTGAGGCTGATGCTGCTTCTCCTGACATGTCGTAGTAGTTTGGCATGTAGCTGCTGTTGCTGTGGTTGTAGTACTTACTGCTTACTGGAGCTCCCCTATGTTTAGGATCTCAGCTCCGCTACCACGTTAAAATCAGTTGTTACTTTGCTTACAAGTGCAAGTGCTGTAGTGTTCAAACAAACAGTCAACCAATGTAGTCTGCAGCTGCCAACCTTTTGACTCATGCGGAGTAGTAAGCTCAAGGCCTGCGGTAGTGAACATACATGCAACAAAAGTGCAAAGTGAAGCATGTAGTTTGACAAAGAAGAGAGAGAGAGAGAGAGAGAGAGAGAGAGAGAGAGAGAGAGAGAGAGAGAGAGAGAGAGAGATTTAAGCCAAATCACAAAGACACACACATACACAGACACAACCACAAACGCAAACACAAATACGAATACACAAAACAAATAGCAGGGGCAGGCAGGCAGGCAGGCAGGCAGGCAGGCAGGCAGGCAGGCAGGCAGGCAGGCAGGCAGGCAGGCAGGCAGGCAGGCAGGCAGGCAGGCAGGCAGGCACAGCAGAACAGAACAGCAAAGCAAAGCAAGCAAAGCAAAGCAAGACAAAGCAAGACAAAGGAAAGCAAAGCAAAGCAAGGCAAGGCAAGCGAGCAAATACAGAAATGAACAAAGAAAAGAAGAAACAATCAGAGAAATGGGCTCAACAGCAGGCGGAGAAACAAACGGCGTGCGCTGCTTCTCTTCGGTCACATCTGAGCCTCTGACCGTCGTAAAAATACATGCACGCTGTAAGCGTTTGTCAGCTAAGGGTCCAGCAAACAGGTTGTGATTGGTATCAGCGTGAGCTGAGAACTTGTCCGCTTCGTTCCTGTTCCACTGCACCTGCGAGGCTCCACTGCAAGCTGCTCCAGAATCGCAAGGTTGCCCTGGTTGGTTTGGAAGCCCAGGCAAGCAGCCAAGCTCAGGCTTGCGAACCCTGGTGGGTTCACTCAGCGTGGCGCTACGCGAGTTCACGCGAAGATTTCGTAAGCGCAGTCCATGAAACTCATATGGGACAAGGGTGGCAAAGTTCCAATCCAAAGCGTGTGGGGCATGGTAGGAAACCAAACATTTTCAGGGTCCCCTTGTTTCAAATGCCTCCTTTGTGAGCTGTTTTCGCCACAATGCCAGTTCAAAAGCTTTCTCCTTTGAGAACAGTATGATATAAGCTGGGTCCGGGAAAACCGATCTTGTGTCTCCTGACAACCGGGGAGCCTGGTCCACAATGAGCTCCTTGAAGACCAGCTCTGGCTTCAGCCCGCTGGGCGAGCTCCTGAAGGAAGACACAAAACCAAGCGACCGCTTCCCTCCGCTTCGGCAAAGTCATCCCAATCGTCTGAGAAAGAATTGTACATATACATATATGTATTTATTTGTTTATTTATTGATTTATTTGTTTGTGTATGTATTTATTTATATTCATTTGTTGGTTTAATTATAATAAATATGAAAAAACATGTGTATGTTTATTTACTTATTTGTATTTATTTATGTGTGTGTGGGTGTCTACATGTATAATATGCTTCGCATACATGTATTTTATGAAGACAGAAGGAAAGGTAGTTGTTGTGTTTTTTTCTTTTTCTTTTTTGGCGGGGGGGGGGGGGGGGGGGGGCGGACCATATATATTTTTGTATATATATATATATATATAAAGAGTAAGCAGCACTTTTTCTGCGCACAGCAAGTCCAACTTTGTCATAAATAAAAAGTTACGTCCTCTTAGTGGTGGCTAACTAGCCCAGGGCCCCTTGCCCGTTTCTTGACAAACTGGGGGCCTCAGGATTTCCCTTTCCCGCCAAGCCGAAGAAAGAGGAAATCCCCCCCCGCACCCCCCCTAGCCCACCACCCCTTTTTCCCTCTTTTCGTGGGAAGGGCGGGCGGGACCTTAAACGGACGTGGCTGCGGCAGACAAGCGCTTTACTCTTTATACCCTCTACGTGAGTCCAAAGAGTAAGCAGCACTTTTTCTGCGCACAGCAAGTCCAACTTTGTCATAAATAAAAAGTTACGTCCTCTTAGTGGTGGCTAACTAGCCCAGGGCCCCTTGCCCGTTTCTTGACAAACTGGGGGCCTCAGGATTTCCCTTTCCCGCCAAGCCGAAGAAAGAGGAAATCCCCCCCCGCACCCCCCCTAGCTCTTCCGCCAAGCCGGAAGCCTGAATGGCATGTTCGGAGTTGGAAAAGGCGAGTTTGTGAACGGGAAGGAGACACTCCGGTTGATCATGAACTTGATCCCTTTGAATAGAATCTGCCGAAGTGTTTCCGGTGACGTTGGTACCTTGCCCCAAATTTCGGGGATGTCCGCCTTCGTGTTGGAGGGGTCCGAAGTGGCCCTCCTGTCGTCTGAGGACATCAGATGCTTTTTCTATCTTTTCCAGGTTCCCCCCGCGTGGAAAAGATTCCTGGGGTTCAACAAGGCTGTCCCAGAGGACCTCGTTCCCTCCTCCCTTACTGGGAGGAAGTGCGTTCTTGCCGCCAAGGTCCTCCCTATGGGGTTCCTTAACAGTGTTAGCATCGCCCAGCATGTGCACCGTAACGTGATTAGGAGCGTGGACCCCCTCCTTTTGACGGGAGATCAAGAGATCCGCAAAGACAAGAGTTTCCCTGCGAGCTCCCGCCTTTTTAGGATCTACCTCGACAACTTTGATTTCATCCAGAAAGTGGACTCCCAGTTGGCCTTCAGGCTGGAGGGGAGGGAGAGCCCGGAACAGGAGGCTGTCAGGAAGGCCTACGAGTCGGCCTGTCTCCCTCGGCATCCCAAGAAAAGTGTGGTTAGTGCTGAAAGGGCAGAGGTGCAGGGCGCTGTCGTCAGAGGCAAAGAAGGAGTGGCTTATCCCCGCCCGGAGAAAGTACTTAAGTACATGGGTCTAGCGGTGGAGCTGATTGTGTGGGGCCGAGCTGGCCTCAAGCATCTGCAAGTGGTCGCAGGAGGGCTGGTGTACATTGCTATGTTCAGGCGCCCGCTGTTTTGTGCCCTCAATTGCGTGTGGCGTCACATTGAGGTTCTGAAGCAGGGAGGTGGCAAGCCTCAGCTTCTACCTCCTGCCGTGGTGGCCGAGCTGGTGTGTTTCTTGTGTTTGGTCCCTCTGGCCCAACTGGACTTCCGAGGGGAGTTGGTGGGAGATGTCACTGCAAGTGATGCGTCCACCACTGGTGGGGGTATCTGCGCCTCACGAGATGGGGTTCATGCCTCCCAGGCCAGTATCCATGATATGTGTCAGGTGTTGACTGTAGGCCTTTTTGATGGCCTTGGAGCTCTTCGCTTGGCTTGTGATGCGCTTGGCTTGCCTATGTGTGGGCACATTTCCGTTGAATCACATGCCCCGGCCCGCAGGGTTGTCGAAAGTTTCTTCCCAGGTACCGTGATGTGGGATGATGTCCGCACTGTAACTGAAGAAGTCGTTCTGCAGTGGTCAACCCAGTTCTCCTCGGCAGGAGTAGTGCTCATAGGAGCCGGACCCCCTTGCCAGAAAGAAGGGTGCTTTGAAAGATGCACGAAGCTGCCTCTTTGCAGAGGTGCCCCGGATTACCGCGCTGATCCGCCGATGTTTCCCCTGGTGCCAGGTGAAGTTCGTCATGGAAAGTGTTGCATCCATGGACGACTGTGACCGGCATCACATGAGTGAGGCCATAGGATTCGGGCCCTGGCATGTTGATAGTGGTCAGGTCAGTCCTTGCCGGCGTCCTAGGCTGTACTGGGTCGATTGGGAGCTGGGTGGTGGCGAAGGAGTTTCAAAGCCGAGACCGCGGGTAAGCTTAAGCGCTACTGTGGACTGGAAAGACTTTTTAAAGGGAGGTTGGAGGCCGCCTCCGAGTGGAGTGTTTCCTACCTTCACCACTAGCCGGCCTTCCCCCACGCCTGGCCGCAAGCCTGCTGGGTTAGGAACATGCCAGCCACATGAGCGGGCCCGGTGGGAAGCTGATCGTCACAGATTTCCGCCGTACCAGTACAAGGACAAGTTTTGTGTGTGGAACAAGCAGGGCGACATCCGTCCTCCTGACATCGAAGAACGGGAGGTGGCCATGGGGTTCCCTTTGGGGTACACCAAGGCCTGCATGCCCAAGTCGCAACATGGCAACATCCAGTTCGAGGATTGTCGGCTTAGTCTAGTGGGCAATTCGTGGAACCTCTTCGTGATCACCTGGTTGGTATACTGGCTGTTCTTCCCGTTGGGACTGTGTGCACCGCGGTCTTTGCAGGACATCGTGAAGAGCCTCACGCCCGGATGGTCTCCTACTTTCCAGGGAGTACTACTGCGGCCCCCTTTGAGGGCTGTCAGGGGCACCAAAGTTGATGCATCGTTGCAACTCGTAAAGAAGTTCCTTGGGGTCATTTCTATAAAAGGGGAAGATCTGCTGCTTCAGGCTTCTACCGATGTCCATGTCCGGTTCCACAGGTTGCGAGCATCTATCCCCAGCAGATTGTGGCGGTGGAAAACTGTGGCGGGATGGACTTGGAAATCACATACGGACCACATCAACGTTTTGGAATTGCGCGCCATCCTGAGCTCGGTCAAGTGGCGCCTCGAGCAGCGTGGACAGATGCACAAGAGGTGGATCCATCTCACTGACTCTCTGGTTTGCCTGCACAGCCTTTGTCGTGGCCGCACGTCGAGCCGCAAACTTCGTAGAACCCTAACCCGAATCAATTGCTTACTCCTCGCGACACGCTCCCAGCCCCTATGGGGGTATGTGCACACGCACCAAAATCCGGCCGATAGGCCAAGCAGGAGGGGTGTCCGCCGCAAATGGTTAAAGCAATGAAGCACGTTGAAGGGAGGTCGCAACGGGAGCGAGCAAAGATTCGGAAAGAATTGGGTTCACTCAAAAGTTTGACTGTGCAGCCAGCTACGCGTACCAGATATGAGAAAGCCCGGACGCGTTTTTTAAAACATTTGCGAGATGCAGGGATCGCAATTCCAAAGCAGAAACTTTTAATGGATGAGTTGGTCTCCGATTATATCGAGACTCTGTGGTCCCAAGGAGAAGGCAGGGCTTTGGCTTCGGATACCCTAGCCGGACTGCAAGATTTGGACCCCAGCCTCCGCCACCAAATGCCCCAAGCATGGCGCCTCATGAAGGCGTGGAACAGCAATGAGATACCAAACAGAGCTCCTCCGTTCCCAGAGAGCCTTTTAAAGGCCATGGTGGGCCGATGTCTGTTCAAGGAACACCACAGCATGGCCCTTTCTCTGCTTGTGGAATTTTATGGCTTGCTACGCACTGGAGAGTTGCTTAGCATTCAAGCTCGTCACGTTTCAGTGAGTGCGGATCACAAAACCGCGGTTATTTCGCTAGGTTGGACCAAGGGAGGCAAACGTCAGGGAGCTGCCGAAAGCTGCACAATCACCGTATGGGATGTGGTGCGGCGTCTTGAACAGTGGGTACTTTCAGTGCCCGGTGGCTCCTATATGTGCGCCTCCCCGTCTACCTGGCGAAAAACTTTTAATCAGCTCCTGGCTGATATTCGAGTGACTGAGTTTGAGTTTCGGCCGTACAGCCTGCGCAGGGGTGGTGCAACCTTTTGGTTCCAACGTCATGGCCAATTTGACAGGTTGTTGGTCCAAGGTAGGTGGCCGGCAGCGAAGACTGCCCGCATTTACCTAAACGAAGGGCTGGCAATGTTGGCCGAGATGAGGATCTCTCAATCCCAACTGAGTGTTTGGGTTCGAGTATACCAAAACGCACTTAGAAGTGCGCTGCCGAGGCTCGAGCGAGCGTCTAGACGCAGTACAGGGGGGGGGACGTGGAAAGAGGTCGAAAAGAGGGAAAAAGGGGTGGTGGCTAGGCTGTTCTGGAGTTTCTTTTTCAAACGGCCTCGAAATGGCACCCACAGGCACCACCTCGCAGATCCCTTTATCCATCAAGCCTTGGCAAATAGCAGGCCACTCTGCGGCATCGGCAAAAACTCGGGGAGGCTTGCCTAGACTCATCTCATTTGAAGGAACCAAGAAGTCCTCGAAATGCAAAGCTCTGCCAGGTTGAGTTTCCCTACTTCATCCGGGAGAGCGGGGCAAGGCACTCCCAACTAAGGTTGACAGCCAGTTTCACCTCATCCCCCTTGTAGTCAATGCCTTTGACCCTCAGGAAGTCCGAAAAGTTCACATCTTGAAAAACCTCAACCCAACTCTCACAAACCTCAACGGCCGCCGCGAGTTGTTTCACGGCCATGCGTCCAGCGTGCGATGACCGGCCTTGCGGGTCTGTGCATCCCGCAAGGGAGTTGAGACTCCGGCACACTGCGGACAGCAGCGCATGTTTGGCGGGCGAAAGCTCAGAAGGGATTGCTAGGGGAAGAGGAAATATGGATTTCCCTTCCATGGGCTGGGACTTGCAGTGCAACATTCCAACATGGAAAAGATCTAGCAAATCCACCAAGCATCCACCAGCCTCGCCTAAGGTTAACCCCGGGAGCCTCAGCTTGATAGCGTTCAGCCGCTCTTGCACGGCCAGAGGGCGCCCAGGAGGGGGACCTTCACGGTCGACCGCCTCCCCGGCTCCCCCAAAAAAAATCTCCAACGCGGAGCCCTCTCCCGAATGCCTCCTCTTCATCACTTCTTCTCCTCCTTCTTCCTGGGCCAATCTTTTGCACGACCCTTATCCTTCCCCTTCTCACCTTTTCCTTTTCCACCACCTTTCTCATCTCTGCCTCGCGGCCCATACGGCACCCAACCGGAATCTGAACCTCCTCTTCCTTGTGCCCGCGAGCCAGCAGACAAAGCTCGGGCCTCATCACGTGCTACCCTAGCCGCATCATGCACCTCGGTATAGCGCGCCACACGGGATGCATCCATGGGCAGGAGCTCCATCTTCTGCATCACCGAATAGTGAAGACCAGCAGCAACGCCTTCCAGGCTCTTGATCCTTTGCACCAAAAGGTCGCCTAGCTCTGCAGCCCGGCCTTGCAACAGGAGATCCAACCCGTAGCACAGGGTGTGGGTCTCCCGAGCCATCGGAGGTGCCATCTTCGACATTAAGGTCTGCCTGAAGTACATGGTGCTCAGAGGAGGAAGTGGGCCATCCTCCAAATCCCACAACTGCCCCGTGTTCTTCAGGAGGCTGGCTCGCATCTCCCTGATTCCTTCAGCCGCCAACACGCCTGGGAAGCGGCGGCCCACCTCTTCGGGCCTCGTGCTGCATCCGAACAGCTCCTCAGGCTCCTCTTCAGACTTCGAGGACGATGAGGCCCTCCCCGAGCTATCATCTGACCTCTTCCTCTTCTTCCTTACTGCCCGGGATGCTGTTCCTCACAGGGTCCGGGTCCAATCCCGTGGACCCCACCACATCTTTCAACGCCTTCTTACCTTCAAGCACAACCCTCTTCTTCTTTTTCTTTCCTCTCTTCTCCTTCGCCTCCTTCCTTTTCTTCCGATCCGCCTCCAAGTCCCCCGCCTCGGGCTCATAGGAGTTCTCATCAGGAGCATGAGCTCCCGCCGCTCCTGCATTTCTTAGCTTCTCTGCTTCTTCACGAAGAGCACGATTCTCGTCGGGCTCCACCCTGCACGCATTCGACATCGCCACGCCTCAGTGGGCACACCTGGAACTTCGCGAAACACACGACCATGTACCAGGCCATCCTCGCAAAGCTCTTGCTCGCACTCCGGCGGACACACATGCAGCCTAATGCGCCCCTCGGGAGTGCCTGAGACATACTCCAGGAGTCTTCCGGATCGGGTCCCCTCCACCAAGAGGTCCAAATAAGCACTGGACCCTTCAATGCGGGCACCCTTGACTACTCCCACAACAGAAGTTTCTTCCATCCAGTAAACGCATGGATCCAGCCAGATCCTCTGCAACTTCCCCAGGCCGACCATATCGAGCTCGGCCAGCACCAGTTCTTCTCCTCCTCCCACACGGCGACGGCGCCTAGGAGTTCTCCCCATTCTCTATCACAGCAGCAGCCGGTCTCCTCAGAATCCCAGCAGGTCGCCTCACCGGCGGCAAACCTGCTGCGGGCCTCCTCACATTCTTAGGAGGCATTACTCCAGCCTCCCTCAACGGCCCCGAAATCGGGCCTGCTCGCGCTTCTTTTTGCCTTTGTTCTTTCCCCCTTTCCAAGGGGCTACTGCCCGGGGCCTCCTACCTGCCAACTCCCGACTCCTCAGGAACAGGAGATGCAGCCACTTCAGTGAGGGATACCTCGTTCGCCTCCCTCCTCCTGGCACCCAACTCCGGAACCTCCTCAGGCAATTCCGCAGGGGAACGGGGCCTAGGAGCAGGGGGAGGGGGATCCCTGGGAGGCAGCCTTTTTGTGCGATGCCTAGCCCTTTCCGGGCTTTTCCTCCTCCTGGAGCTGCGGCTCCTCTTGCTCTCTTTTCTCCTCCGCCTTTCTGGCGTGCGGGAAACTCTTCGTAGCAGGAGAGGACGCCGAGTGCGTCCCCTCCAAATCCCCTCCTGCCGGAGGGGGGCCAGCGGGCTCAGCCGGCCTAAGAGTCCCTAGCCCAGCGGGCACAGAAGGTCCAGCACCACCGGCTTTGACCTGATCGAAAGTGCGACCCTCCCGCTGCCTCTGGAGCCCAAGACAGGAGGGTCGAGGAGAAATCCCTGATTCTCCTCCCAAGCTCCTCGCTGTCCTCCCGCTCAAACCCACGGAGGACAGCGAAACGGAGCTGTTCCAGGGAGCTACACACCGTGCACCACCGGAAGGTCCCGTACCGACCTTCACACAGTGGGCACGGCTGCTCCCCCATCCAACTACGCCACACCTTAAACTGACGTGGCTGCGGCAGACAAGTGCTTTACTCTTTATACCCGCTACGTGAGTCCATATATATGCACATACACTCAGTTGCAGCCACCCCTCTCAGGCCCACTGAAAGACTGTGTCCCGCACACTCTGAGCCGCTTCGCCGGATTGGAGGGTGCCCGCTCTGACCGCCTGACGCGAGGCGGGAGAGAAATGCCAGACGTTAAATTTGAGTTGTGTAAGCTGTCAATGGTCGGCTCGTGTCCTGAGCTCAACATTGCCCAAAAGTATCTAAGCAAGCTGTGCTTGTGAAAATGATCTCCGCAAGAAAGTGATAAGTCCAGGAACTGCCCGGGCTTTGCGCCTCAATATGCTGTCCTCTTCAAGCCTGGGGAGCCGACAATGCCAGAGGCCTCTCCGTGGGCGCATCGCGCCGATCTCCGGCTTCTGCTGATGCCATGCCTGGCATGGCACTATGAGTCGGTCCGAGCGTCTTCTACGGAAGTTGGATCTGCACGAATGATTCGCTAAAATCACCACCACAAATTAAGCAATTGCGAAGTATGGGACTTTCATCATGGGGTGAGTGTGCTTCACCCCCAGGTGAGCCCGCTCTGAGTTGTGCGAATTGGATGAACGCCCTCTCAGATGTACAACTTTTACGAAGATAAGCACCATGGCTGGCCTGAGCAAGCCCCGTATTCCTGCCCTTTCCAAGATTGACCAAGTCAAGCCGAGATAGACCGAACTGAGCGTCAGGCTGTGCGCAACACAGGTTCAGCCACAACACCGAGCAATCCGAACAACCCCACAATCCCAATCAACCAAGGAAAGAGTGGAATACTGACCACATTGAATGCCGCTGGAACGACGTCCAGCAACAGGAGCACGCGCAAGACGAGGTAAGCACCCTCAATGATAGGAAATGCCGACCAAAAACAATAGGGAACGAGAGCACATAGGAACGACAGATCATGTGTTCAAGACCCCTTCAATGATAGGAATTGCCGACACTAGGCACGAGAGCACAAGCCATGATTTCACCCTTGTACTGAATGTCAAAATCAAGCGAGCACACCGAGATGCTCACACCGAAGTGCGTGGCCTGCGGAGCAAGCGGGCCACAAACACACGACACACACAACACAACACATACACATACAAAGCGCGCGAAACACAACACATACACAAACACAGCATGCGAACACAGCACAACACAAACACAGCACACAACACACAACATGCGCAGACACTGCCGCTCTGCATCACACTGGCATCTCAAACAGAAAAATCCACAGACCAATGGATGAACAGGAAAGGCTGCCATAGTTGCGGAGAATGCTGATATTTCAACTGCAGAACGCTCTCAACAAACAACGAACGATAAGATCAACCATCACTTTACTCTGCACGCTCCAATCGCACACATCATTCCGTGCAATACCGTTCAACCGGTGTGAGATGGATGCATCTGGGAGAAGCGGCTCACTTGCCGTACTTCCCGTCGTTGCTGGCTGGTGCTGGTGCTGCATCAAGGTTGGGAAGAACCGCCCCCAAGAGCGGAGACTAGCGGCACGAAACTCATCGGTGCAAATCAGAAGGAGCGCGAACTTTTTGTACAAGCTGGCGGCTGACCCTGTGATAACCCCCATGGAAACATCTTCGGAGAACCATTGCTCGCGTGCTGCTAGCAATCCGAGTACAAGAAGGAACGAGGCGAAACCCCACTCAATGATGTCTTCATGCTGTTCATGGGAGATCTTCGGAAGCAAATCCGCTCCTGTGAGGACGAAAGTTGCCAACAATGCCCTGAATGCCGGTACGTCGTCATAGCAATTGACCGTGATGATGACATACGCGGCGATCGTGCAGAACAGAACGAAGCACCGACACAAGACCGCCATGTCCCCGGAACAGGCGCGCATCATTGCGAAGCACCCGTCCTTTAACCAAGTCGTCACTGGAACGTCCGGGTAGTCCACGTAGAGCGGAATGGGCATGTTCTGATCGTCCTTGTTGTTCTCCGGAATGTCCATCACGGGGTTCAATGCCTCGCAAGGAGCACAGCAACAGCGATAACGGCAACAATGACAACAACACCATGACAACCACAAATCAGCAACAAGCTTTCAACAAGTCGTGAGCAAAGAATTGACATAACGGTGAGAAGCATAACAAGTACAACCATCACAATGGCAAAAGCAAAGCAATATAACCACACCCTGAGCGCGATGTGACACCTCAAACTACGACAACATCCTGAGCACGGAACTTGAAACCAACACAAAGTCAACGATTCCATGGAAGAGCAACTGGGGAACGCTACAACAATAACAACTTACACTTGCAACTTACCACTATTAACCCACAACATATTTGCACGGTACTTGAAAACAACAACAATTACAAGGGCGAAACATCAAACTACGACAACATCCTGAGCACTCACAGCCTACCACTAAATAGGCACTATATCGTGGACAATTCCCTTAGCACGGAACATCCTGAACACGGTACTTGGAAACAACAACAATTACAACGACTCCTCGCCGCATCCTGAGCACTCACAAGCATTAAATGGGCACTCCTCAACAAGACGCCAGCAACACAGGGCCACACATCGTGAACAACACACGACACACAACACTCGCAATACACAACATTGAAAAGAACCTCAAACAAGAACTGCTTGCAACAACCACCACCCCGTGAGCACGGTACTTGGAAACAACAACAATTACAACTGCTAATCTGCAGGGGCCTTTTTTCTCTTGATATTCAAAGGGCTTCGGTCGAATCCATGCCCTGCACACAAGGTTGGAGATCTTGTCACTCCTCCCATGCAGCTTCGGCTACGTGCTGCATGCACAAAACGTGCTCAAGCCCCTTGCCTTCGGCTTCCCATGCAGTACCCACACAACGTGAGCCTCTCAGGTTCTCCTCCGGCGCAAGTCATCAGCGAGTGGTAGTAGCCCGGGCTGCGGATGTAGATCGGGCCCGGAAGGCTTGTCAGGAGCCTCCTGAAATCTGGCGTACAGCACCGGGGGCACGGCATCAAGTCATGGGTCCTTGTCGCCCGTCGAAGGCGATAGCAATCCCTTCTCACATGATACCTTTCCTCCCGGCGGAATGACCGGCTCATACTGCTCCGACGGGCTCGTCATCTCCTCCTCAGGCTCCGGTTCCAACCAACGCCTGGCACTTGTTCCCTCTTTCCCACGCCCCTTGGCATTCATCGGCAAAGACTTGGGTCTGGCTCCCAAGGCCTGACTTGCTCCACCTCCGGTACATGACCCCCTGGACGTCCCACCTTGAGTAGACGCCCTCTGGGATGAAGATGCTCCTCCGGTATACGGCCCGCCGAACGTTCCACCTTCCACCGATGGCCCACTGGCCGTTCCACTTCCAGCCGATGGCCCACTGGCCGTTCCACCTCCGGTAGATGACCTCCTCGACAATCCACCTCCGGCCGATGGCCCACTGGCCGTTCCACCTCCGGTAGATGACATACTTCTTGACATAGTTTCGCCCCACGGCTCTACTGTCCTTCTCACCTGATGCGCTGCACTCCCATCTGTCTCCTCCTCCGGTTCCTGCTCATCTTGTCGAGGAACTCAGAGCTCTGATCCTTGGCGCCACCGATCTCTGGCACACTGTCTCCACCAGCTTGTAGAGGATAATCGACAAGATGCTCACGAGCATCATCAGGACCTTCAGCATGTCATGATTCTCGTCCTCCACCGTCTCTTCTAGCTTCTCCTTGACCGCCTGCGCCTTCGAGATCATGCTCACCAAAGCGACCACCTTGATCATGGCTGCCGCCTCCTCCGGGTCTCCGCGCAAAACCGTCGCCTTCTTCTCCTTCTCTTCGCCGCCAACGTTCTCCACATTCTGCTCCTTCTTCTCCACCAACGGCTCTAGCTTCCACAATTTACGAAGGTCCTCAATGCGCTTGCCCGTGAGAGCCTTCGTGCCCAAATCCGCCAGCATCATCTCTGACGACACATGGTGAATCGACCAACTCTCCTCTATCAATCTCCACCGCAAGTTGTAGGCCCGAACTCTGAGGTGCCGAGTTCTCCAGCTTCCACTAGCCTCCTGTGTACTAGCTATCGCTGCCGAGCTATCCGACAGAAGCTGCCTTCTGTAGTTGCCACCCGTGACCTCTTCAATCTCCATCACAAGGGCCTCCACGCTTTCGCCCATGATGATCCCCTCCAGGCACTCCATGAGCTCCGCCTCCCCTGTCGACAACGTGGGTGAACTCTGCCTCGAGCTCCTCCAGGCCAACACTGCTCCGTTCCAATACTGCCACCGACCCCTGGCTCAGTCCTCCTCCTGGTCCAAACGAGGCATCTGTGTACACCTCCAGTCTCCTTTCATTCAGACCAGTGATGCCCTCGCCCACATTTCTCTCAAACCACAGGCCCATGTCCACAGTCTTGTGCAAGTATTTCCTCACCTGCTTCCCCAACTCCACGGTCCGCCTCGGCGCTTTTGTCACTGTCGAGGACATCCGGCTCGTCACGAACATGAGGTCTGGTCGCGTCTTGGTGGTAAGCCACAAGACCTCTCCCACCGCCTTCTGCGCTGCCTGCACCTCCGCCGCCGTGATGTTTTCCTCCTCCGGCATTTCCGTCATATCCTTGCTGATCGGGATGACCGAACCATAACCACCATCTCCGTATCGGTTCAGCAGCTCCTGCGTGTACGCCGCTTGCCCGAGATGATAGCCTCTTTCCGTGCGGCTGATCTCCACGCCGCAGAATCTCACCTTGGCCCCCAAGGTGACAAACTCTGGCTCGCTGGTCTCCCACTTCTCCCGGATCACCTTGTAGAGCTCCTGCTGCGTGAGCTTGTCCGTGTACGCCAAGATGTCGTCCACATAGATCGCCATCAGGCCCGTCAGCTCTCCGCGTTCATCGTCTCTCCCTTTGCCCTTAAGGATCTTCCAGACGTTCGGGTCTGACACCGTTTGCTCCAGCCAGAAGAGGTCGGATCCTCTCTTCCATTCCATAGTTCTCATGTTCTGGTCCCGGAAAACTGACCGTGACTGGCGCAAACCATACAGGGCCTTTGTGTGATCCCCAATGCCTCACCGACATCTTGATCCATGGCCTCCTTCTCGTCCTCCAAGGTTGCCCGCAACATCAAGAGGGCGCCCAATTCGGTCTTTTTCTCTTCGCCCGCGTTGGTCTTTCCTCTGATCCTCCTCCGTGGCTGATGCGGCTCTCCCTCCTCCGGTAGTAGACGATCTTCTGGTTCCACCACCCCTTTCACAATTCAAGAGACCACCTCTATCTTTCCATCTTCACGGAGGACACCGTGTCCGCTCGTGACCTCCTTGACCACAGCCAGATAGCGCGCCTTCTCGTAGGTAGGACCAAACGGATCCCGCAGCCGTTTCCATGACCTCTTTGGAACCCATACCTCCTCCCCAAATGCTGCCGGCATCATCTCATTCTTCATTCGCTTCTCCTCCGCCACGATCGCATAGCGCGCCGCCATTGGCCAAAACTTGACATCCAGGTTGGCGCCCTTCAGCAATCGCCGGATCCTGCTCTTGAGGCTATTGATGCATGCCTCCGCACGACCGTTCTCTTGCGGTGCATCTCCACTAGTGGTGGTCTTCTCGATCTCCCTTACCATGCACCAGGTCTTCAGGTCGTGGTTCAAGAACTCCTTGCCCCGGTCCGTATGCAACCTCTGGACCGGATACCCCTCTCTCTTCAACTGGATGTAGAGGTCCTGCAAGCCCTGCAACACCGTCTTAAGTCCGGCAACGGGATAGCCTTGACAATCAGCTTCAGCGGCTTCTGCTCCCCACACTCCGCCTTGGCCTTTTCTTCGGATCCAGACCTGGTTCTCCTTGCTTTTCACCATCACCTTCTCCCTTCTCACAATCCAGATCCCCTCTCTCGCAATCCGGATCCTCTTTGTCGTCGCCCTTCTCCTCAATCACCGGGAGGTCCTCCTCCACGGTTCCCTTCTTCTCCTCAAAGAACTCCTTCTGATCCTCCTCCGCTGGCCAAGTGAAGGAGCCGATGAGAAAGTACTTCATCGTGGCGTCATGGATGTCTTTCCCAGCTTTATAAGGTCCGCTGAGATCCGCGTTCAGCACCGCGGCATCCGGGTAGGTAACGCAGCAATGCCTCTTCCCCCGCGCCGAGGCTTCCTGACATACCCGGCAGTCCCTCCGAAAAGGCACATGTCCATGCCGAACATGCTCTACCCAGCTGAGCTTCTTGATGTGAGCCGGTTTCCCAAACACCTCCTCCTGGATTGCCCGGGCCACCTCACGCATGAAGCCCGGTGCCCATCTAGACAAGGCTGCTGAGCTTCCCACTGCCACTGCTCCTCTCGTAGTTGCCGAAGACGACCTCCGAGGTGGAAGCTCCACATTCAGGTCCGTGACCACCATCGTGGGCTTCACTGCCACCCCGCCGTAGTCCCCCTGTCTGAAGCAATGCTCCACGAAACCAGGCTGGTCCCTGAAGTTCCGGTAGTTGTCCGTCCTCCACCATGACCCACACTCCGGCATGTAGTCCGGCGCTTCCGGCTGCTCCAGCAAGAAGGTCACTCTCGCCCTCGTTGATCCCTTTCTGCTGTTCTCCCTTCTCGCAGCCTCCGCCACGCAGAAGATCATGATCGTGCGGTAGAGGAGTACGTCGTCCTCCCATACCTGCTTCTTCTCCTCCTCATCGAGCCCCGGAAGACCAAACCAATCTTCAGGAGTGACTCCTCTCACCGGGCGAGGCCTGCCTGCGGGCAACGGATAATGTCGCAGCACGCTTCTTGTCCGGCAGTTTGGTCCGCCCACCACTCCCAAAATGTAGCTGTCCATAGCCGCTCTCAACAGTGACGCATAGAGGGGCCCATCTATCATGTCGTGCTCCTGGCCTCTCTTCAAGTCCGCCTCCACCAATCGGGTTGTGTCACCGCCCACCTCCTTGAGCGCTCTCTGCAAGGTGTAGCCGTCCTTCTCACCCGCATACAAGTGGAGTACAAACCCCTTCTCCAACGTCCTCCTTCTGCTCCGGTTCAGCGGGATGCCTCTCAGGTTGTCCGCCGGCTTTTCGATCACCTTCTCCATGATCTTCTCCGGGACGCCCCAAAAAACCTTTTCCTTCTCCGCCAAACCGCTCAGCTCCGTTTCCTCGTGTCTTGCCAACCTGACCCTGGCTCCCGAGATCTCCGTCTGCTCCAACATGTCGATGAAGCACAGCGCCAGCTCTCGGTCAATCATCCAGCATTCATCCAAACCGGGATCCCAGAGCCGGATGTCTCACCTTGCAGGATCCCATAACACTCCACTTGATTTCACAACCGAGCTTGTTGACCATCAAGCCCAGCGGTACAATCGGCTGCACCTGGGGGTCGTCATGAACGATGACCTTGCCCTTCGTCATCCTTAGCTCCTGTTGCTGACCTCCGGCCAGCTCCACCTGGATGACCTCCAGGTCTTCCAACTCCTCTCCCTCTTGCAAGCCCCTCATGGCGTGGGTGGCTCCCGAATCCAGCAACCCCCTCTCATTCTGGAAGTTGATCTTCGAGATCTTCGAGACCTTCACCTCTTCAAACTTTCGCAACTTCATGTCGTCCAGCTGCTTCTGGATGTCCTCCAGTCGGGCTTCCCGCCCTGTCTTCTTCGGTGGGGTCACCGTCAAAGAGCGAAGCATCTTCCCGGCCTCCTCCAACACATTCTGCAAGGCTTCTGCATCCCCCTTCTCCTTCTGAGTGGGCGATGTCCCCTCCGTGTTGGTTGCTCCTCTCGGCGTCTCACCCTTCTCGCAAACCGAAGTCGCCCCCTCCTCCGTCTCAATCATCGCGACCTTTGGAGACGACGGCTTCGCGTCCTTCTTGTAGTCCTTGACGACCTTCCTCGGGCAGTCCTTGGCGTAGTGATTGACCGCTCCACACCCATAGCACCGAGCTCGCCCATCTCGCGCATCATGGCCAAATGTGCATTGACTCCCACGGCGGCATCCCATGTCCGTCAGGAAGAAGCGACAGGGTTTCTTCTCCTTCGTCGTCTCCTCCTTGCCGTTGGTCTTGTCTTCCGCATAGGTGCCTTCGATCTTCTTGGCTCTCGCCTCCCCAGGACTGACCTTCTTCTCCGTGTGCACCAGCTGCTCCAGCTCCGACAGCAGGTGCTCACAGTAGACGCCAACCGTGCTGTGGGTCGGAACCGTGTCTACCTGTAGCTGCGACTGTAGCTGCGACTTCGCCAGGCTTATCTTGAATCTAAGGTCCCGGTTGCCCTCCAGCACCTTCCGAACCAGACGACGCAAACCTCGATTGAGGACCGAGGGATCCGGCAAGGACACCCCGATCTCCTCCGCCCGCCGCTTCCAGCGAAGCCACCTTCTGATGCCCGTCACCGCCGCCTGGATGTTGTTCGCCTCCAGAGGCTGCTCCAAGTTCCTCAGAATCGCGCCTCGCTCCGCGATACCACCCGGCTGGTACATCATCATCAGCTTGCAAACCAGCGACAGGGCATTCAGGCTCTTCGTCGCCACCAACTCATCCTTGACCTGGTCGGGCACCGCCTTCACCAGCAGCGTGACTGCCTTTCCTTTCTTTCCACTCTTCTCCACTTGGGGCTCTCCGACTCTCCCTTCGTAGGGACCATCGCCAGCCTCTTCAACGGCGCCTCCTGCATGTACTTATCATACCACGCCTTCGCCTCCTGCAACACAAGCTCCCACCATTCCTGGCTGGTCTCCGAGATGTCCGCCATCGCCGGGGTAATCAGCGTCAGCCAGTCCTGCAGGTCGATTGAACTCGTCTCCGCACATAGCTCCGCCAGCACCGGCAGCTCGATCGCTCCGGCCTTCACCATCTCCACCTGATCATCATCTTTGCCCTTGGCACCGCTGACCAGCGTCTTCTGGATCTGTTGCATGCCCTCCATGAGCTTCAGAATGATCGCAAGGTGGTCTGGATTAGACTTCTCCTCGTCCCGAATCATTTCCTCCGAGGATTCCGGCTTGTGGTTATCCGCGTCCTTCACGCTGGGGTGATCCGGAGTCACATAGGTCTCCCCCGAGCCCGTGGCCGCCTTGAGCTTGTTGTTCTCCTCCTGCAACCGTTGGATTTCCTTGATGAGGTAGTCCTGGTTCCCTTGCCCTGGATCTTGCTGTGGACCGTCCCCATCTGGTGCCCAATGAAGTCTCTCCTGGTCCAAAAACCCAGGCCTCACCAGCTGAAGTTCCCGCTCCTCTTTCGCCTTCCCCAGGTTCACCAATCCTCCCGGCTTATCCCACCGCTGCAGGTAGTCCAGCTGCTCCTTTGTGAAGAGCGGGCCATAGGCTTGCGGTGACCCACTCGGACCGCCTCTCCATTGCCGATCTCCTTGTTCCTCTCCAGGTTGATGCTCTTCTCCAGCCACCACCGGAGATGCCCACGGGTTTCTCGACGCCGTAGACCAAAGCCTCCTTGGCACCATCACTGTGCCCGGGGTTTCCGTTCCTTCCCCAGCACCACCATCCACAGCGCCATCAACACTTGCAGCTCCTCCTTGTCCTCCAGCAGGCGCCTTCCGAGTCGACCTCGGCCCGCTGCCTGAGCTGCCCTTTCCACTCCCCTGAACCGTCTCCTGGCCCACCAACGCCAGCTCCTGGCCGATCAGCTCAAGGCCCGGTGCCGGCTCCACCAGTGCCAGGGCCTCTTGCTGACTGCCCTGGCCTGACTCTCCCACCTGACGGTCTTCCTCCTCCTGTAGAAGGTCTCCTTCAGGCCCTTGCCCTCCGTCTCCACGAAGGTGTGCGCTTCTTCGCGCTCGCATGGCTTTAGGGTTTTGGGCTCATAACCTGCTAATCTGCAGGGGCCTTTTTTCTCTTGATATTCAAAGGGCTTCGGTCGAATCCATGCCCTGCACACAAGGTTGGAGATCTTGTCAACAACGATTCCGTGGAGCATTTGGTGAGCAAACTGAACAATGACCAGAGCAACAACAATGGCACGAACCTCAAACTACAACAATAGCAACGACAATAGAACCACATCTGAGTGCGATGTGACACCTCAAACTACGACAACATCCTGAGCACGGAACGTGAAACCAACACAAAGTCAACGATTCCATGGAGTCGAGAAACCTTGACACGGAGCTCGGAACAACAAGCCACGAAGACAACGTTCTGCGATGCCCTTGTGACGGCACTTGGCAACACCACACAAGACAACGACAAGAATTGAGTCGGCGCCTCTCCACCATCGTTCTTCACCTGCTCAGACCGGTAGAGGTTGATGTTGGGGAGGGGCACGTTGTCGAACAGCGGGTTCACTTCCTCCTTGACCTTCTCGATGAGCATGGCGACGTTCAACAACCCTTCGGTCGCAACCCTGATGCACGAAGCGCCGCCTTTGACCTTGACCCAGACACCCTGGGTTGCACCACTGCTTGCAGCCATGGCTGAGATGAGCGAAAAAGGGGACACCTTCCGCACACCAATCTGTGAGCCACGTGGCTGCGACAAGCGTACGGACAAGTCCGGCAATGGATGCCAAGGTGGGTGGGGTCAACGTTGGAAACTGGTCAAGCATTTGTCGTCACTGTGTCCGCAAACACGAGAAGTTTCGGTAGCGGTTCATTCTCCCGCTTTAGGGGTTGCCCCAGAGCGAAACTAAAGGGAACCACTTACTTCAACACCCATGCTTGTAAACACTGTGGTCCAGAGCAGGAAGTGCCGACGCGCCTCCAGTTTGCGGCAGAGTTGTCTATTTCTGCTTGCCTTGCGGCCGCCTTGCGGCTGCCTGTCCTTGCTGTCGCTTCTGCTTGTTGAGTTGCTGCATTGCGGTTGCCCTGTGTTACACAACAGTGGCGCCCTTCTTTCGCTCTCCTTGCCTCACTTTTCTTGGCCTCACTTGCTTTACTTTCCCTTGACGGGCTGGGCCTGACCTTCTTGACTGTTCATTGCTTTATGACTTCGTTGCGTCTTTCGCCCATATAGAGTTGCCCTGTGCCGTCAGTCGTGGGCGAAAGTCGGCTTGAGCCGCAGAAAGCCATGCGAGCATCTGGCGCGAGTTAGCCTATGCTCGGCTCTGCGTGAGGTTCATTGCTGGCTGTTTAAGGGGAAACCTCGTTAAAAGTGGTGCTTGGACAACATCACCATGTAAGTAATGTCCACCAATCCTCAATGACAACTCTGTGTCGAGGATCTTGTCGCTACTCCACATGGGAGTAGCGCCAAAATGGGCGGAACCCAAGGAATGGTGGTTTGGTTGTTTCGGTTTGGTTTCCCCTTAAACTAAGGTGAAAAGGGTGCCGAGCCTCAAAATACACACACACCCACACACACACACACATACGTTCAGTCTCAGAATTCACCAAAGCCACGCAAGCCTTTGCAGAATACAAGCTCTTCAGAGCAACAAAAGCGACACCATCCCTTAGGAGGGAACGCACATGTGCAGCACGGTCATTTTTCGGACCTCCAGAGGGCAGCTCAGCCCAGCCTTTGGATGATGTGCACCTCACGCTGGCACATTCTTCCTTTTGGTTTTGAAGGGCATAGTACTAAGCTTCTCCAAGTGAAATGGCTCATTTTCTCCCACCTTCTCCCTTCTCTCCCCCCCCCTTGGCCCCCCTTCTCACCCCCCCCTCCTTCACCCCGCCCCCGCTCTCTCACGTGTCATGAAAAGCTGCCCGATACAACTCGGTTCCTCAAGCCAAGCGACACCGCGGCCGGTGGAGACCAGGTCGCCAATGCTATTCACAGGCAGGCCTGGGCATGTCTTTTTGTTTGCGGTAAAGTAGAGAAACAAGTGAAACACTGCGATGGGCCGCAAATTACTGGGGTTTGGTGGTCGGCGCTGGTTGGCTCGCAACATTTTGGGGATCCACCGGGCTCTGGGAAAAAGGACAAGAAACGAGATTGGTGGTACCCATTCAGGTTGGTTTAAAGTTTAAAGGGAAACCAAAAGGAAAACCGAAGCCATGTTGAGGTCCCTGTCAAAACCTGCCATGTTTATATAGAATCAAAAGGGCGGATATCTAGTTTGCTTCAAATTGTAAAATGGCACGGATTCCTTTGGCTTCCCTTACAAGCCCAACAGAAAAGTGGAACAATTGCGGCTGCTGGGGCCACGGCCAAAAGCCACTTCCTCAAAGCTGGCCTCTTGCTGGCCACGCCTCATCATCGGGCCCTTTTTTGTGCAGAAACTTGGTGAGTCCCCCATCCCCATGTCCCTCGATCGACCATAGGCGAATCCGCAAAACAAATGATCAAGCCTCAAATGTTCTTCGTTAAAGTCAGCCGAGCCTTCGGGGTCGCCCTAAGGAAGGCCCATGTTTTAGGATATTGACAAACCCAGGGGCGCATGATACCATAACTTTGAAAAGTGAGTATGAGGAGGAGTATATCCAGTAATTCTGTGATGTGTCATTACCGGAATGCCTTGCTGTTGTGCCTGTGCTGCGTCTGGTTCAGGTGCTCTCCGCGGGTCCCCGTGTTGTCGCAGTATCTCTTGCACTGGTCGTTTGCGCTGCGCCATGTGGCCGGAGCTAACCATATTGCGTCAGCGTGTTGTGCCGAATCCGATTGTCACCTTTGGGCTGCTGTCATTTTTCTGATGAGCTCTTTGAGCTTTCGTCCTCAAAGGCAACGTCCTTCTTGAAACGTTGCTCTTTTGCCCTCAAAAGGGTCCCACACGTTCTTGCCCTTCGTGTGCGAAGGCCGGGGGGTGTTTGAATGTTGTGAAGGCTACTTTTGTTGCTTGCGAGGTCAGGGATTCAAACGGAACCCAACCATTGTAGGGCTTCCGTCTCTTGAAAGACCAACCCGCGCGTCGCGAAATGTCTGGCGCCCCGGACGCCAACCAGCCAAGGTCCCCAGTCCTGAGCTACCGCAACGGGCCAAGCGGGGCTCGTAGCCCTGGTTTCGGGGGGTGGAATTTTTAGCGAGTCACCAATCCACCCAACCATAAGAACCCAAACCCCTTGTTTTGTAGCTTCGATGTGGAGAGCCCCTCTTGGAAATATGGGAGCTCCGCCCCAAACCACAGGGTTTCCCTGAAGAACCTACGAAAACCAGGAGGGTTCTGCAAGAATCCCCAAGGGGAGAGTTTGAGTTTGGCTTTGCTACACTTGGCTGCGCTCTGAAGCTTTGTTGTGGCTTCAAAACGCAACCTGCGCGAACCGAGTGTTCGGAATTCTCGGATTTGACTCGAAGAATCTACCGGGCTCGGCTCTTATCGCAAACTATCAGAAGCACCATGGTCAACGGTCAAACCATGCTGCTTCCACAATGGAAATCAGAAAACTAGGGCTCGTCTGATTTTCTGCGCGAGTCCCCATCCCCCCGAAACTGGCCATGGACTGAAGATTTCGAGCCTTATGCATGAAGCTGCAATGTCCAGAGAGGTGTACGAGTGTGTGATGGTCAGCAGCCAAAAGGCTTATGTGGGCCATGGTCATGGTTCCCCCATTCAAAAAAAAAAAAAAAACGAACACCCTGACAATGGCGGTCTAAATTCCCTGCATTGCTAAGGGGTGCATGACCAACCCTACTCAGCCCGAGTAGAAGAGTACTTTGACGCTGGCACGTGTGCGGTCAGAAATCTAGTCAAGACTCTGCTGTGAGACTACCGGCGTTTATTTCATAGATGAGAAAAACGTTGATGCTCTCTATTATGTTGCATTGGTTCTGGCGAAAATCGAGAATTGGTCAGGGCGTCTCATACAGTAACCTGCTGAGACACTCAGGCTGCGGCAGTTGTCCAGGTTGCTCGGCGGACGAACAGTCTGATAGCCTGAGATTCATCGCAAAGTGGGAGCCACTGCAAAGTGGTGTATAGTACCCTGTTTGCAGTGGACAGAAGTGTGATGGAAGACTAGTACTATCACCTTAAAACGGCCCACTGTCCACTTCCATAATCGTTGGAAAAAGAGTAAACAAACCACAATGGCAGTCACGTGCAGCTGCGAAGCTCTTTGCAGACCTTGATGAACTGGTTCGGATCCTCACAGTGGAATCGGCAAACAGCTCATGTGAGTCACAAACAGTGTTCTATGTCTGTCAAAACAAACATGCAAAGTGTTATGGCTCAGAAACATGACAGACCTACTTCGCCATCGATCTGAAAAGCTGCTGTTGGCTTGGGTATGTTTGGGCCGCCCTCGTAAAATCGTTGTGGCTTAAACATAGAGTTCTCCCCACCACCCCCAACCCCCCCCCCCCCAGGCCCCGCCCAGCTTGCGAATAAACAGACAACAATATCTGATGTTTTCCGGTTCCTCAATTTGAGCTACCCAAACCTGCAAGCTTCGGCATCGTTTGTGCTGTCGTTGGCTTGATGGTTTCGGCCTCAAAATGCAATTGCGAAACGGTTTCCCTTTGGCTTCCCTTCACAACCAAAATCGGGAGGTTCCCTCTTGTCAAGTCTGAAGTGCAATTCTCTTCAAAGCCCAACCATGGGGCGTCCCAGCAATTAAGACCTTCCACCTAATGGGCGGCTTAAAATATCTCAGAAAGCTTAAAATATCTCAGCAACCTTCTGCTTTCCCAATCCTTCCGAGAACCTAACAACCTCCAAGAAAACGTCTCTATAGAACCGCAACCTGTTTCGATCGACAGTCGCATTGTCGGCCTTACAGAACCTCAAGCTCCCAACGAAATCGCGCCCCAACGAACTTTGGGTCCTGCAACAGGCGCTGCAGCGCCGCCAGCGCGTTGGCCTCGGCCTCCAGCACCTGCGAGCGGAAGGAAGCGAAAGGGGCAGGCGAAGCCAAGGTGAACTCGGGAAAATCGCTTCTGTTTTTGCCTGAGACCCCAAAAAGCATACATGTATGTTGAAAAGCAGGGTCATTAGAGGAGTGGGTTCTACAAAATATGGCACACATCTTTACAAAGGTTCGACGAGTGCTTAGTTTCTAGCAAATTTCGACACAGCCCCCAGTCGTGCAGCGACGCTCTGCGCAAGTTGCTCTGCGCAAGTTGGCCCAAAGGCTCCGCACGGAAGAACCCTTGGCGATGCCTTCGGGATGACAACGAAAACGCAAAAACCACCGCCACCACCACCACCACCACCACCACCACCGCCGCCCAACAACAACCAAACAAACAAACAAACAAACAAACAAACAAACAACTAGGATGGCTTCAGCCCCCAGGCGAAAAATATTAGCAAAACCCTGAAATTTGGAGCGCCCACTGCTGCATCAGTGGAAACCATCAGGATCCAACACTGGTCACTTTCCACAAGACATAATGTATGTGCCCACTGCGTTCCAGCATTCACGCAAACACTTCGCAGGCAATAACTATGACAAAAAGCACAAGCACACAACAGGTAGGCGCGCACGCTGGCATGTTCCATCATGGCACTGCGCCAGGACAGGATGACGGCAAAGCTACGCAAGCAACTGCCCAGCACATCAAAACAGAACACGACCATCGGCGCAAGCGCGTGCTACATTGACATATACATTGATTTGTGCGCTCGCGCGACAGCAACGCGTTGCATATTTCTGCCGCGGGCGTGTGTTGAGTGGGTTAGTCAACAAGGAATCTAATCACATGCCTAGCCTACCAGGACATGCAATCTTTACAAAGCTCGCGTTGCCACACTGTTATGGTTGCAACGAAGGCTTGACAAGGGCATTAAGAAGTACGACCAAGTAGCTTTCAGTTTTCTCTATCATTACCCTCGGCCACACCCCGACCCACACACACACACACAGCAGGGCATGCCAAAAACGGCACTGCTGCCGCTAAGGCTGATCAGCTCGTCCAGGGCCTGGCCGCAGAGCTTCACTCACTCAAGATACTAC